GATTCCAAGAGGCAGTCCAATTTCAGAGGTAAACATTGTTTAAAAATGTGTCTTGGGGGAGCAGCAGTTGGCGTAATGGCTGTCGCTTGACTCCCATGTAGTCCACCACAGTTCAAGTCCCAGACCCAGTGACCTAAACTCACGCTAGGCGCGTGTGCGTGTGTGCCTAAGATCCCGAGAGGAGAATGGAGGAAAAGGGATTGCGATGTGGCCATCCCCCCTGGGAGGTGATTTCTCACTTTCCCTCTCACTGTTTCTCTGTTTCTCCAGCAAACACATGCACTCTAAAGCAAAAACCTCTTAAAAAATAAAATAAAATAGGGACCAGTAGTTGGCATAATGGCTATGTCGCTGGATTCCCATGTAGTCGACCGCAGTTTGAGTACCAGGCCTGGTGGCTTAAACTCACGCCAGGCGCGAGTGCATGCATGCCTAAGATCCTGAGAGGAGAATGGAGGAGGAGGGATTGCGGCGTGGCCATCCCCCCCGGGGGGTAATTTCTCGTTTTCTATCTCTCTTTTTGGCAAGTGCACACGCCCTATAGCAAAAACCTCTCCTAAAACAAAAGTGTCTTGGGAGCAGTCATCTTTGCGCTGACCAAATGGCTGAGCAGCGCGTCTTACAAACATCAGCGGTCACTGGAAAGCTAGGAGCAGCTTACATGTGATCTCTGAGAGAGCGCTCATTCGCAGCTTCTACATTCAAGGGAAGCACATCCAATCAGAGAAGCAGCGCCTCGCGCTGTGTCCACCTGTGACACTTACCTGAGTTGAGCTAAACAGAGTTTAAAAATCACTAAACTTTGGGGATTTCAAAAACGGCGAGTCCCAGATCACATCTGGGCGCCCCTGGTTTTCTTTCTGATGCGTGACTAACGGATAGAGGCCTTCCGGAGGTTTCAGAGGCAGTTCTTGTACTTTCCTCTATCTTCAAAAAATTGCAAATTTATTACAAGTCGAACATCCCTAATCGGGAAATCTGAAATGCACATAAGGCACATATGAAACATAAATCATTGTCTTGTTCAGACTGGATCCCATCCCCGAGATACCTCGTTATGTAGAGCAGCTATTCCGAAATAACCTGAACTCCAAAACACTTCTGGCTCTACGCATTTCGGATAGGAGATACTCAGCCCGTATCTAGCAACAAATTTAAATGTCCCAGTCACTGCTGGTGGACAGAGCCTACAAACACGCCCCAGGGAACCATCTGGGCCAGTGGTCCCCAGCCGTGCTGGCAACAGGGACTGGTTTCGTGGAAGACGATTTTCCCCCAGACCGGAGGGAGGGGTTTCAGGATGACTCGAGTGCATTCCGCTTATTACGAGCCTTATTTCCACCGTTATTACAGTGGAACACGTAATAAAATAGTCACACAGCCTGTCATGGCATACTGCACAATCCGTGCTGGCCCTGAGCTTGTTCTGCAGCTGGGCAGTCCCACCTGGGGGCTCCCATGAGCATCTAAGCCCCACTGAGCTGACAGGAGGCAGAGCTCAGGTGCGATGCCAGCCCACGGGTGAGCTTGGCCTTGTCACCTGCCGTGCGGCCGGGGTGGGGGTCCCCAATCCAGACTAAACCTCACCGCACTAGGTACAGATCACTCCTGCCACGCCAGCTCATCTCTTCCAATGCCATGGAAACGGACGCTAAGCTTGAAGGGCCACGAGGAAACTGACATGGCTGAGGCCGAAGACATCCCATGTCCTCTGCTTCCTCCACATGCTTCTACGTAACTCTCAGAGCTCCTTGGAAAGCCCCCAGTATCGCCACTCCACAGACACGCAGGGCCCCGGCACTGTTACAAAGCAAAGCCTGAAATCCACGCACGACCTTTGGGTAATACACATCTCCGCGAGCTTCCTGAGGACCCCGATAGCACGAGGCTGCACACCAACACGCAGGTGGGGGACGCACAGGGCATAAGCCGGGGACAGGGAACCGGGCACTCCACGCGGTCTCGACCTGGCGCTCGTGAGATCCAGCCCACGTCTTCACGGAGCGTCCTCTCCAGCCTCGGCAGCACTTCCTGAGCTGAGTGGGCAGGGTTGAGTCCACCCTCCTCTCGTTCCCTACAGGGGACCAGACTCCACTGGCAGGCTACGTCACCCTAAGTCACCCTGTGCAAAAGGCATTCTTATTACGGGGGAATTCCGAGGGTTTTAGGAGCCCTGTGACAGGAACGGGACAAGGACAAATACGTTTGGCGTGCTGTCACTGAGGTGAGCGATGGCAGGGGCCTTCCGGCCTCACCGGTCCAGGGCCCCTCAGTCTCCTGGTGTTTTATTCTGGTCCTGCCGACCTACCTGGTTTGCCACGTCGGGATTCCATAGAGGGATGAGAAGACGTAAAGACGTCATGTAGGACTGACAATAACTCAGAACCCAAACGCCTGCGTCAGGGCCACCCGGCCGCCACTACCATGTGACAAGGATGATTTTTTTCGAAGATTAGCAAACGAAATGAAAACCGATTTGGTCTGGTTGTTTCTGTTCTTAAACTAATCCCTTCCACCAAACACACACACAAATGCGCATGGGCAAACACACATGCACACACACGTGCACATGCACACTCATGCACACACACACCAAAAACACACAAAAGACCCAACCTTAGTTCTCCGCCTCAATTTCCAAACATGTAGGGCCTTTCGGCAAACTGGCCTGCACACGAGTTCTGCCAGCTTCCAAGTCTGGTCCCCTGCGCCCCGCACTCCTGCGCCCCGCACTCCCACTGTCCGCTCAGCTCCCTTGGCACTGGTTCATGCTGTAACCTCTGCCTAGAGACAGCCTTTCCCGCCTACCTGTCAAATCCCTCGAGGCCAGCCAGAATCAATGTGAAAGTCAGCAAAACGCAGGTCAAATCAGGAGTGAGACGGACGTGTCTCGGCCAGTTGCCGACCTCGCACCCCCTGCGGGCAAGCGCCCAAGCGCTGAGCCTCCCGGCTGCAATGTGGAGGTCCTGGCCACTGGCTGCAGAAATCAAAGGCCCTCTATTCTGGGCATCAAAACATTGATTTTTTTTTTCCTTACAAATTTAGCATCCTGATTATATTTGGCTGACTAAATATTTCATGGTGCTCTTTGAGTGCCCATGAAATTAATAAGACTAAGATAAATATCTGCCACTTTAAAAGTCACTCACTAAAATTCTCAGAAAATTGAGGAAAGACACGATCGGTGTTGAACAGGGCTTGACAGTGTTCTGAACAGCTCTGATTTGCTCCATCACACAACCTTAAAGTAAGGACTTCACACAAGGCTACAAGAACAAACTGCTCTTGAACACTAGTACGGGAGCTCTGGACAGGTGCAGCACAGCGCTGTCTGGTTCAGAACCGGCCTAGGAGACGCCAGGAGCAGCCTCACAGGCCCCGCAGGCTGGCAAGACGGATGGGCACACTCCACTTCCCTGCAGGAAAAGCCCACCCCTGACTCTCAGTAACTGCTACAATTCATGCTGGAAAGCACGGTGCAAAACTCGGGGTTGGTGAAACCAATCCGTAAAGTGCAGGAAGTTTTCACTAGCAAATTTAAAATGAACGGGTCAGATGCCCGTCTGAGGAGTACCCGTGCAGTTCTGTTCTCCGGCCAGCAAGGGGTAGCCACGCTGGTCTAACCAGTGGCCTGGGAGGATGATTCTCACCCACACACGGGAAGGCTGCAAGAGGCCCTGTCGGCGAACCCAGAGTCCGGAGCCGGGAGGCTGGGCCCGGCCGAGCTGCCTTTAGTACCAGAACCCACGCCCTGGGCACCAAAGCAGGCTCGGCACCGGCTCTGGGTGCCAGGCCTTGCCCCACGCAGGCAGCTCGGGACCGTTTTCCTGTTTAGAGCGTGAAGCAAGACAAACGCCCAGACCCAAGGCACCGAGTTCAAAACCCGCGCGACACCTGCTCGTCTCAGACCACGCGTGGACCGCGCTCCGGGGGCCGCGGGGGCGGGGGACAGGCCGAGCCCCGGCTGGGGTCACAGGCGCCCTCGCGGAGCACGACGCCCTTTTGTCTCAACTCGGCTGCAAACTTG